GTTTTATCTCTTTTATTTTATTTAGATTTCAATTGCAGAAAATGGACCCGATACTGAGATTTGCGTTTCCATGTTATTACGGAAACCACTTATTTGAAAGGATTTGAAAACCCATGATGGATTATTTGTTGAGCCCATAGACATAAAGAACCTATAGACGGACAACAGGGGGCGCAAGACCGTAATTTCAGTGAAGCCGCCATTTTTAAAAACCATGGGCAAACTTGTTCGGCACGTCACACATAAAGCGCACACAATACGCGGCTGTCTGGTGAGGTCCTCCAAGCAGAACGTCACAGTGAAGGGTAAGTTGTAGTATTATTGCCTTTTATGACAGTAGAACCAACCTGACAATGTGTACATATCATGTATGAAATATCTGGGCATTGAGCAAGGGGGAAAAAAGCAAGTTTTTTAGGGAATTTCATTGGATATTTGTGCAAATAAAAATTGATCCAGACGCCACTTTTCTGGTTGACATGGTTGTGCACGATTCAATTGTAGCATTTGTTATCATCTGTCCCAGTCACTCACTCACTCAGGCATGTCAGGAAAGAATGTTGTAACCTGACGCTACTTCAATTCAGCGGTTGTGTACAAAGTCTATGGAGAGTCAAGACAATTTTCTAAATATTTCCTAACAAATTTGTGTTTCTCAGTCCCAGATTCATATCTAATGTCTTATCATCATTTTCGCAATTACTGACATTCATTGAGACAATATATGAAGAAACAAAAAACAGCGTCAGGTTGCAACATTCTTTTCCTCACGGAGTCATGGCAATGTTTAGTCCGAAAATTTGGGACTCTCAATACTGTATGAGAGTCCCAAAACTTAAGGTATTGAAAACATGCAAAACAAGAAAATAGACTGGCACCTCAAACAACCAGTCTTTCAGTACTGCATCAATCAACCATGCCAAAAGAATTTAAGAAACATGTGGCATGAAGCGGGAACTAGTCTCAATTTACTACACATTTCTCCATAGTAAAGCCACCAGACTATTGACACTGAATGAAGAGGTCAGTCTTTCCAAATAGTTGGACCATGGTTGGACATGTACCAGTCTAGTATTTAGTCCCATTGTGGAATCACTTGACTGCCCTCTCATGTGCAAAATATTGAAGAAAAGTCTCCTTTAAAAATTGAATTGAGTCTGCAAACTTGGTAGGTGAAATACTGAGGACATATTCTTTGCCCCAGTGCAATTTTTGGAGAAATTTGCTGGCTAAACTGTGAGTAAAGTGGGCCTGATTTAGTTTTGCACGTTTCAGAGCACTCCAGAGCCCTGTCTGGGCAATGTTGAGCAGATTAATTTAAAACTTGCACAAATTTGCAAGAGTGGACCCTTTTCCTTTGTCAGGATTGTCAACAATTTGCATAACAGTTATTAAGAACTTAATAACAATGTCACAATGTGGCCAACCAGAACATATCAACTGCCAGAAGAGCATAGAATGATCTAAAGAATACAGCATTAGTGTATTCAAATTTTGTTGGAATACTGTCAAGCTATAAGTAATAGGAGTGTGTCACATGATGTTTTACATTTTACATGACTTTTGAATTTTTTTAAGTAATTTTTTAAGCGGCTTAAAAAGATTTGAATGGAAAGATTGCCATTTATATACGAAGTTCACTCAACACCCTGTGTACAAACCCTATGAGATTGGACTGAAAAATTCTAAGTGTTTTCTAAGAAAATGCTTGTATTTTCTCACTGCTCAAATTGACTTTGATGACATGAAATTGCTATCTGGGGGCTTGTTAGTCAATACAGAGGAAAATTAGTGAACTTCGTAAATGGAAATCTTTCCGATTTGAATCAAATCATTTAAATCAAACAACCCTGGCCTTTGTCCTTTATAAATATTCATGAGTTCATTATCTTGTTAATAATGCCATTGAAATGTGCATGTACACAGATTTAAAGATCGCTTGGGGAAAAAATGTTGCAATCTGACGCCACTTTTTTCTTCATACATAATCTCAAAGAAGGGCCATTCATTGCAAAAATGGTAATAAGACATGATCCTGGGACTGAGAAACATTTCCAATTTTGTTAGTAAATAGCCTACTAAAAAACTTCTTGACTCGATAGATTTTGTGCACAACTGCTAAAGTAGCGTCAGGTTACATTGTTCTTTCTGATCGCGCATACAAATTTGAATTTGCACAAGTTCTAAATTTGTGTTCAACACCATTAAAAGTCATTCATTTCTTTGCTACTTGCAGTCAAGTCTGAAGTTTGGACAACTTTCAGTGACATTCTATTTCCTATTCCGTGTTCATCCTCAACTTAGCTCTAATTTGGAAGTGCCTATAATTATAAAGATATTACATACACCATGTAACTTGATAACGAAATATTTTTGTAATAATATAAGATCATTTTTAATAAACCTTTGTTTTCTTTTGTATTTGTTTTGCAGAATCTAAAGTGATGCACAAACAATGCCTCGAACCTGTGTAGCATGGGGGTGTAAACAGCAATATTCACAAGAATCAAAAGCGAATGGAATTACATTCCACTATATTCCGAAGGACCTCACCAGACGACGCCAGTGGCTTCATAACATGCGTTGGGATGGCTACGATCCAGCAAGGCAAGATGGAGAGATAAGTGAACAACTGGAGAGATAAGTGCGAATCTCTGCAAGCCAAGATCAATGCACTCCGAGTCAAAAACTGTCGAAAATCCCTCGCAAACTCAGCACTCCGAGGGCTTCTGACAGACATAAAGCGCAAGGAGCTGCTAAGCGAAGAAGATGCCTTGGCATTGGAAGAGCACTTTGAAGGTAAAATTATAACAATATTTTTTGATGCATGGAAACACTACAATGTACCTATGTCACATATCAGAAAAAAAACAGTTCTAGTACAAAATGTACATATGAAGTTAATAGTTTGGATAATGGAATACCAGATATCCATTAAACAAGCTTTGAGAAAATAACTTCAAAAAGAACTTTTATACCGTGCACAATTGTGAAATTTGCATAATTAATAATTTCATGAAAGTCCTGAAAAATTTAATTTAAAAACTGTTCGAATTGTCAGGTGCATGGGCTTTGTGCATTTCTTTTCTGTAAAATTGGCTCTATGTTTATAAATCTTAATTCAATCAGGCTACTCCTTAATGCAGTCTGAAAAGCACTTTTCTTTTAATTTGTGTTGAAGAAATTGATGAAGGGATATGCATGTAGAGGGATAACAAGTTAAAGGCAAAACTTATTTTACAAACGATGGTTCTCTTTGCACGGTCCACACTTAGGTTCAAAGCTGACTCTGGTGAAATCTCTGATGAGCAAAGGCAAGCATGTGACAGAATACGAGAAGGAGGTACGTCAGTTTGCAACAACACTGTACTTCTACTCTCCAAGAGCCTACACATATGTACGGAGGCTCTTCCAGCTGCCATCTGTGAGTACACTGCGATCTTGGGTCACAAACATCCATGCTCTCCCAGGCTTTTCACAACATGCTCTCAACTATCTGAAGGATAAGTGTACATCTGGAGATGAGACCTACCAGGTGAGGGCTCATTTTTTTAAGAAGTTTTTGCAAGGTATTCAATAAATGTGAATCATTATAGGTTTTGCCCTTCACCGACATACATGTAAAACACTGTATACTCGGTGTGTTACCACACAAGTGAAAGTTGGGAAAATCACTCCTGTAGGACTCAAACCTACGGCCTCCTGCTTTCTACATGTAGTGCAGACGTCTTACCACTCCACCTCAGAGCTTGCTTGATCAGTTGGCTGGTTCCTCTTGTAATTACTGTACCAGCTGCTATATGTACATGTACATCAGATTCAAACCAGTCAACAGATCCCGCAAGCTCTGTGGTCAAGTGGTAGGACGTCTGCACTAGAAAGCATGAGGCCATGGGTTTGAGTACCACCCAAGTGATTCATAGCATGACTCGGCAACTGTTATTCAGCGTTACAGTAAATAATCGTCCAATATTCATCAAAGAGTCGTCGGATTTCATCTCAAAAAGTGTTTAAAACAAAAAAGGCAGGGGTATGATGCAGTTTTAAAGAAAAAACAAAGTTGGCGGTGGACTGTATAGCTACAGTGTACTTCGAAATTTGAACTACTATTTTCGGGGCTAATTCATAATTATTTCAATGAATTTTCCATTTACAACTTTACGCACATTGTATCGGTATTATAGTCTCGTTTACATAATTTTATGGCATAAAACTGGCTAACAAAGGGCGCTTCTTATTTTGCGATGACCACGGACACGTAACTCGAGTTGTGATGTGTTGTAGTGCTTCGTGAAATCAGTTGCAGGGGTGTTGCTGGACACCAATGAAATGTCAATGAAGCCATCTTACAAGAAGAGTTTCATACTTTGAAGAAAATTATCTAATGAAAGAATAAACAAACTATAATTTTTTTCAACCCTGTACATGTTAAATTAAAACTGAGGATAAGCATTCAATCAGTAATGCCCACGATCATTGAATGATATCTTCTGTTGTTTTAACAGGTTGCTGCTCTGGTAATAGATAGCATGCATCTGAAGCAACACATAGAATATGATCAAGGTCTGAAGAGAGCATTTGGATACGTTGATTGGGCATCTTGGCAGAGGAAGACAGTGAAGAAGTCGCTAAAGAGGCTCTGGTTGTCATGCTCGTAGGACTAAGGGGTCATTGGAAAATACCAGTGGCCTATTACCTGGTTAATGGCATCACAGCCGCTCTACAAGCAGGCATAGTGCGAGACACAATCATCCAGTGCCAAGCGTTCAACCTGCGTGTGCTGTCGGTGACTTGCGATGGGACTGAGCACAACATCAAGTCAATGAAGCTTCTAGGTGCAGGTTTCAATAAGGATCAACTCCGGCCTTACTTTGAACATCCCACACGCCGAGGCACATCGGTCTACGTGTTCCTTGACCCGCCACACATGATCAAGCTGATCAGAAACCTGCTGCACAAATTCAAATCACTGAAGTGGCCTGGCCATGGAGTTGTCCAATGGGAGATGCTGGAGCGGCTGAACAGCCTTCAAGAGACTCATCAACTTCAACTGGCTAACAAAGTCACCAAGAGGTGAGTTGATTAAGCAACTATTTATAATGCTCACAAAAACTGGCAACATTTTAGAAAGCTGTAAACTGGTAAGCAAATAATTTGTTCACTTTAGAATTTGAGGTTGTTTTTAACAATAAGCACAAGTTTAGTTTACAAAATTGGTTATTTGTGTTGCCCATTTGTTAGAAAAAGAATTGCTGACAAGTTAGTATGAGTTTCCCACTCCAATGTTATAGATAACAGCAATTTAGAATCAAAACCAAACAAGACAAAAATTCCTGCTTACCAGTCTTACAAAATTGGGCCATGTATAACAAATAATGACTGTTTCAGATTTTCCTTAATACGCTTGTGTTTTTACCGAAGAAATTTTATTAAAAACTTTTCATGGGACACTTCAATTTTCTAGAGGAGTGAAAGTCAATTCAATTCAAAAATTCAATCCCAAATACATGTACTTTATTTATCATTAAAAAAAGGCAATTGCAAATAAGTTACAAGTGTTTGACCAAGCGCTTTTATTTTTTGATCTAGAAGATTGTCCTCATGTACTATAGATTGTGAAAGATTATTAAATGAATGTTTGTCATTTTTACAGACACATCAACTTTGACTACCAGAAGATGACGGTCAAACTAGCTGTGCAGTGTGTTGCAAGCCGCTCAGTAGCATGTGCCTTGAGGTTTTGTCATTTCAGTAGTGTGCCTGGTTTTGAGAGTGCTGATGCTCTAGCTACAGCAGATGCAATTGATCTGTTAGATAAAACCTTCAACATATTGAACAGTAGGTCAGTTCAAGCAAAGGGTTTCAAGCGTGCTGTTGTTCCCTCAGAGGGCTGCATTGAACGCACAGAAGAAGTATTTGCTGCAAGTGAAGAAATGCCGCAGTCACTTGAACAGCTGGATGGAACACCGCTCCTTGATGGCAGACGCAAGACTGGCCCCATGGGACTGCTCAGCTCCATCCAGGTAGTACGCTGTCTTCTTGCTGAGATGCGTGATGGCATCCTACCTCTCAGGTACCTCCTTACATACAAGCTTTCACAAGATCATATTGAGCTCTTCTTCAGTGCTGTGCGTCTTCGCAATGGCTGTTCATACAATCCAACACCTCGACAATTCCGCACTGCTTTCCGTCGATTGTTGGTCCATGCAGGAAAAGGCGTTGTGGCGACCAATGGTAACTGTCAGGCACAAGATGACACAGCTGTTGTCACATTACCGTGGCGTACTGCTTCATCAGTATCTGATCTACCTCAAGCCAGTGATCATGAAACTTCCTCCCAAGATCAACAAGAGAGTGTTGAAATGCCACACTCTGGGTGCTTTGTCAAGGACTGTAGTGTGTGCTGTGCAGTTGTGGCTTACATAGCTGGTTTTGTTGTGCGGTCAGTTTCAGAGAGAAATCCATGTGCGGACTGCAACTCTGCTATGAGACATTCTTAGGATGATCCATGTCCAGCTTTGTCACTCATCACCATCAAGAACTACAAGACGTATGAAGAGTGCAATTCTGCTTCAGGTCTGATCTACCCTTCTGGTAGCGTGATGACAATTGTCCTAGAGACAGAGCGACAACTCAGATCTACTAGTCATCAGCTGTCTTCAAAGAAATGCATGGCTACAATCACAACCAAATCTCTGGAAAAGCTGGCTAACCAACCTCTTTTTCCAAGACTGAGTGACCACATGTTTGATGCAGAGGGTATCGAGTCACATTTCTGGTTGCTTATGAAGAGTATCATCCGCCGCTATGCCCTCACACGCGTGAAAAAAATGTGTAGGGACAAACAGATGCAGCTGGGCAAAACAGGTCTGGGCAACAAGTTACAAAGGACAAGAATCTTTCTGAATTCATAAGTGTGAACGTCCGGCACATGGTGGCTTGGAGGTTGTATACAGGTCAAACAGAATGGCTGCCAGTACCGATCCTTGTGGCAGGCCGTTCTTCAGGAGCTGCTAGCGTACATGTCGCCCATGTGAACACAGAATTGTTGTTGCAGCAGGAGCTCAACTGTGTCGCCAGCCCAGCGGGGTAGGACTTTGGAGATTTTAAGTACATGTAGTAGACCTTTGTGCCACACAGTATCGTATGCAGAAGTTAAATCGAGGAAGTCAGCGCCAGTCTTTAAGCGTTGCTGGTATCCATTTTTATTCAATTGATCAGCAAATCTGTTCGCTCGAAATAGACCATGGCAAAAAGACTAAGGTTTTAAGATGGCGATGGTTTTCAGTTGTCCAGGTTTTGGGTAGACTTTTCCCCGAAGTAACCCCTGAAAGGGAGAGTGCTAGCCAGTTTTTTGCTGCATGTCCCAGGTGCTTCAGGAACTTGGGGTGGATGTTGTCATATGCTTGGGCTTTCCCACACTTCAGATCTTTCAAGGCTGTGTTGACTTCTTTGTGGTGATTGGAGTTTAATGTTGTTGTAGTTTGATCTACTGGTTTTGACTTCCTGAAGGAATGTATACTTGTGTAATCTCATGTTTGATCTGTCTGTCAGTCACAGTTTTGCCCACGTTGATGAGATTGCTTGCTACTGCATTTGGTTTGATTGATGGTCTGGTTGAATTGGGGGGTTGTTGATTGGAGCCGAGGTTGCGAATGAGGTTCCAGCTTTTCCGACTTGAGTGTGTGAAGTTCAGGTTGCTGGTGGTTTCCTCCCATTTTAGTTGGCGGGCATTGTCAAGACACTCAATGAGGTGATCAGCAATGTCTGGGTCGTCTGAACTATACTCTGCAAGAAGTTGTTGGCATTCAGAGTTTCGGCACGGGATGTAACTGGGTCTTTGAAATGATGCTTTATAACATGTATAAAGTTAAACATTTTAGCAGGAAACAATGCCTGAGCGTTAATTTTCCATGATAAGTTTGCCTATGGAGTAAAATGTTACATGTAAATGTTAAAGTTTTTTCTGGCATACATCATACTGCACATGTAATGTCACAAGGCTCGAGTCGTCTTCTTATTTTTTAATACCAGAATGAATTCACCAGGAGTTTATGGGTACCTGGTAAGGTACGGGAGAGACCAAATTTGATGTAATTGTATGTAAAGCACTTTGAGACCAAGCACCATTATTATTATGTATGCACAAAACACCATAACGGACAACCCTTTCATTAAGTCTTGTGCATGTGTTCATGGGTGCTTGTCACAATTTTATCATCTTGTTTTATGACTTACAAAACTTGTTCTTGTCAAGATCTTTAAGGATATCTTAAGAATTAAAACTAAAGAAATTTCATCTGAGAAAAAGGTTTTTTGGTTACACAAGATATAAAATGCGTGGGTACAGAATAATTTTTTTATTGGGCAATCAGTTGTGCTTACATGTGCTCATACATTTTCATGCTGCTTCATGGCATGGATGTGGTGATGGTTGCGGGTGCATGGAGATTTATATTTTGTTTTGTCAATGATTTTAGCAACTCATGTATA